GCTGATGAATTGTCTTTCTGAAAATGTATTTTTATTACCTTTGTTGAATTTGCTCCTGATTCTCCATTTTATTTCAAGGCTTATATAATACAATCAGAAGGGACAGAGTTCAAATGTTGTCCCTTCCAAGCTTGTATACATCTATTCCTTGGCTCAGTTTCTTGTCTCTAAAATGAGTTTAATAGTAACTTTTTGCTCCAAAATTGTGAAGTTAAACAGCCAACTACACTCAATTAAAGTTTTAAGGAAAGGTAGTAGCTCTCTAGAGCAGTGCTATTATTTATACACTAGACACTCCAGGAGCCCAGGGTTTTGCTTTTCCTATCAATGATGATATCCCCAGCACCACCACTCACAAGCACATAGTTACCACACATCAAATATTTACTGACTAAACTACATTAAAGTGACATGAACAGAAGATAATTAATTGCCCTGAACACTCTGATCTGAAATCTGGTTAAACTTTGAACGTTAAGACAACTTTAAAATTTTTGAAATTTCTGGTGCTTCTTGCATTTTCCACAGTTTATTTATGTGAGTTCTACTATCTTTTCATACATCTAACACAATATAAAAATAGGATGATGACTGTGGCAAACAAAATAATGTGCACACTCCCTCCCCCAACACACCCAAATCCTAATCCCTGGAAATAAATGTCACCTTATTTGGGAAAAGAGTCTTTGCTGTTATGACAGAGGATCTCAAAATGGGAGATTATCCCAATAATCAGGGTGGGCCCCACATGCAATCACAAATATCCTTATAAGAGAAAATCCAGGAGAGATTAGACTCCCAGAGGAGCAGGCAATGGAGAAATGAAGGTGTGTCAGAGCGACATGAACACCACCCAAGGACGCCAGAAGCCGCCAGTTTAGGAATGCTGGATATGCTTCTTTTAGTTGATGCAATTCTGCAAATAGATCAAGGAGACCTGCCTCTTTGTGTTCCAAATAAGGCCAAAAATTAAACATGTGGTTGGATGACACTAGAGGCAAAGAAAGAAAGTCCTTACGGTCTATAGGTCCCTATCCCATTCTAGAACTTTGTTCCAGTATTCTCTACCAGTTCATCAGTAGGTTAGGAGTAAGTTATCCTCAGTCTGGGAAAAATACTTTAAGTGGTATGGAATTAAATGGATATGATTAAAATCACATTTAAAATGGGGTAAGGACTCTGAAGGAATTTGGCTCATCTTTGCCTCTCAACCACCTTAAACTTCTCTCTTACTGCTAATTTTTTTCAAGTTAGGGCTGGGTTAATTCCAGAAAGGGGGGTTATTGCTCATTTTAGCAGACCCTAGAAGATATAAATTAATACATTTTTAATGTCTGGAATTTTTCAAAGGATCTCCAATGTGTTATTCACTTGTTCAAAAGATTAATTACACTAACGAATTTTAGGCATGTACTCTATTTGAGCTGATCCAGATTTCCTAAGAGGCTATTTAAGTGCCTGCTTGATTTTCAACCCAGAGGCTTTATTTTTATTCAAACTCTCAGTTTAGAGCCCGTGTCAAAAAAACTAAAAAACACCGTCCACCTTGAGTTCTAAACTCTTGAAACATTCGAAAGTACAAATCTTTTTATACAATTAGTTGCTTCAATCTGTGATATTAATGTGACTCAGACATTTTTAGAGTTTAAGTCACTTTTGAGAAATCTGGTTTCTCAAATCACCAAATAATATCAAATAAATTATTAGTTCTAAAGTGCAAAAGTGGAACTTAAAAAAATTGTAAAATACAGAACATACATCATGTCATTATAAGGTTAAACCCATTTACAAGGCTCCCACTGTCATAAACTCTTTTGCAATTAGACAACTCAAGTTTCTAATAAGCTTCAATACTTCACTACTAAGGTTAAATATGTTAGTCACTCTAATAACATCATTATCTGCTTCCAAAAAATAAACCTCTAGGCTAGTTATTACTGTGACTATTTTTATACTTCTGCTAAAATCCCTACCTATCCAGAAACTTATGTTTATAGTTGGCAAAATAGGATTTCTTAAAGACTTCTACTACCTCAAGAGAAAAGTCAGACATTTCTATTTCATGCAATGCTAAGTTACTACTAGAAAACACAATTTAACTCTAATAAAATAAAAGAAAAATTATGGCAATAATCATCAGTCTCATGGAAGAGAGAAAAGTTTTTTATTTGAAAACAATAAAGTATTACGCAAGTCCAATGAAACAGGCAAATACCTTTAACTTCTCAAAGATTCTCTGTTTCCCAAAGCTGTTCCCATGCCTGGGATATTAACATTGTATAAGTGTCCCAGTGGGCTATACCCTTTTATTTGATAATTCCATTCATGTGCAGGCTGATAAACTATGTGAATTAAAATATATCACTGTTCCCCAAAAAAGCATCATTACAGCTTGTGAGGAAATATGACAAATTCATCTTATATGTGGTTCTAGCTCTTTGCTTTAAAACCTCAAACACTTTAGAGAGACACTAACATAATTTATCTGAAGAACTCATGAGTGATGGATTTATAGATTTGGAGATTACAAGAAAATAATGGAATATTTCTAGGGCTGTTATACATGTATAGCTACCTGCATATACTTTGCAATAAGAAATTCAACATCTTAATTAAATTTCCTATAAAATAAGCCCTAAATTTGATGTGAATTCTTAGCCAAAGTTGTTACTGAAGGTGAAACACAGTTTGGTTGAATTGCAAACATTTTTCATTATTGAACTTTTGATGCACCTAGCAAATAGCAAATCACAGTAGGGGGTGTAATTGTTTTAAAAATGCTATTGAAAATTAAAAAAAAATTTCAAACAGGTTGCTAGTATCTCTTAATAGAAATTCAACAACCTGTTAGCATCTGAGCATTAATTATAAGCTGGCTGAAATTTGAGAGTGCCCAGGTAGACCTCATAATAACTCTAGAACATCATACAAATGTGATGTTAGCACCGGCTATGTTTTATGTTAGAAATCACACATTGTTAAGAGAACGGTTGTAGTATACTACTATTGATATACAATAAATGGGCTCAATGAAGTGATATTGTCAAAAGGAACATTAAGACCCCAGCATTTAGCCCTCCCTAGAGCTGGCAGGCCAAATTACATAAATGCTTCACAATTTTCATTTGATTCCCAGTTTCAAGTTCCACATTTGTCACATTAAACATTTGAAAGAGTTGTAGATAAATCAATGTATGATGCTGCCATCACCGTAGAAATTTTTCATGGGATTTAGAACTTAGGGAGTGGCTTCTATATTTCAAATGAGGCTCAGAGAGGCTGTATAGTGGTTAATGGACTTTGGAAACCAGCAATCTTGGGTTCCAAAACACTACTCTGGAACTTTTCCAAATTTAACATTTCTAAGGCTCCTGTTTCATACCCACAAAATAGAGATGGTAAAGATGCTGCCTTCTAGGGCTGTTATACATTTACAGGGCTCTAAGGCCTCTCTCTACACACTGCTTTGTAGGCAGTGAGTGGGAAGCAAATGTCAGATGTTGTAGTGGTTATTGTTATTATTATGTGACCCCAACTTCAGCCACTTTACCACAGAGCAAAAGCAGTCCAGAAGTCCTCGATTTTAGTTCAGATCCCTTTCTCCTAAGTTTCGAACTCTTCATTTACTTAAAGCTAAGATAACACATTAATTCAATATGCTTGCCCATTCCCTAGTCTGTATTTTAGCTCCATGAATAGAGTGTTTAAGTTAATTTCTGAGGAACATCTGGAAGGAAATGTGAAGAAACTGCAGCAAACCCCAGACGCTGTGCTGCATCAATCTACATAATTTGAAATGACCCGTATTTGCCTTTCATGCTCAGAGACCAGAGTACGGTGACTGACTTGCCCAGCACAGGGCAAGGGCGGCATGAACACCCGGGGGGGCGACACACCTTTCCGAGCCCTTTCAGGGAACACGGTGAACCAGAACTGAGTGGACACATGAAAGGCACCTTTAAAAGACCAAACAGTAACATCACATGAAGAAAAGAGAAAATTTCCCCATCACATCTTCAGAAAGCAGCACAGAAATTTCACAGAATAGCACCAGCTCAAGGGGCCTTAGGTTCACCTACAGAATGTAGGATAGATAGTCTTCGAAGTCATTTCAAGGTTCCAGAATTTGGAAATGCTCAAACCCCCAGGAAAAACGCATGCCTCCTTACTTTCGCTGCAGCTCAGGCTAAAGCAATAAACACAGCTTCCAGAAACAGAGATGCGGACAGGTCTGAACTGTCAGGGAGACAGACCGGGAATTGGGCATTTCACAAGGGGTGTCGCCGTCCGGTGTGCGGTAGACTCCCTCTGACCCCAATTTGCACCCACGATAAAACTTCTCCCCAAATGCCAGAACTCAACAAGGTATGCAGAGCGTGCACCCTCTCTTCCAACTCAGACCCCCGGACCGGGAAGGCGATCGGATGCAGGGGCACTGATTCGCCCTAAGTCTCTCAACCCCGCCCTAAATATAAAAATGATTCCCCTGGAGGACGCTTCTTACAACTCAGTAGCTTCCAACAGAGCCCTCAGACCGTGCGCTTCCCAGAGAGAGATTTTGAAAAGCTAATGAAAAGAGAAGACAATCACGAGGCTGGCCCGGTGCGCCTTCTTATCCCAACAACTTCGCCAGGTTTCCCGAGGACGGAGCGCGCCCCGCACACACCCAATGGGAGACGGGCAGCCGGCGCCCATCCTCGGTGGCCCGGCCCTCCCCGCGGGCAGGAGCCGGCCTGACCCGGGCGCCCCCGCCGCTGCCCTGCGGCGGTGCGGGGACCCTGGGGCTCCGCGCCCCCTGCCCGGCCCCGCAGCCTCACCTCTGTGCCGGGCGCCGAGCCGAAGAGGCAGGGCGCGGGCCGCCGGGTGGGGGCAGGTCCCGGCTCGGACCGGCAGGACGCCCCCCTCCGAGCGCCCGGCACCCGCGGGGGCGCACCCCCGGCGCCAGGCCACGCACCCCGGCCAACTCCCGCCGCGCGCGGCGCCTCTCGCCCTCAACTTACCGCGGGCGGACTGAGCCCTCGGCGCCCCCGGGAGTCTTTCCTTCCTTCCTCCCTTCATCCTCTTGCTGGCGGCCGCGCGGCGCCCCGGCCCTGGCATCCGGAGGAGCGGCCGCCTGGCTGGCGGACCCCGGGGGCGCACGGCCGCCCGCCCGCAGCTTCGGCGCCGGTGGTCCGCCCGCGGCGGGAGCAGCGGCCGCGAGAGACGGTGGCGGGAGCGCCGCGCGTGCCGCCCCGGCGCGGGCTGGAGAGGGCCGTCCGCGCGCCTCAGGTGCAGCGGCCCGGAGAGGGGCGAGCCGCGCGGGCGGGGCCGGGCGGCCGGAGGGCGCGCCGCGCAGCAGGGACGCGCGGGGAGGCGACGCGCTGGCCCGGGAGGGAGCGGATCGCGGGCGCGGAGGGGCAGCGCGAGCAGCAGAGACGCGGGCGGCACCTCGAGACACTGGAAATGAGCTCGAGTGAGCGGCTTCGAGGCTCAGGGAAGGAAGGGGCTTCCCCCCTGAGTTTAGGTCCTTGATCTCCCTGGGGGGTAGTTACCTGACAATAGCCACACACACCCACACACACAGACACACACGCACACACACGGACTCTTTGTTTTTTTTAATAGTTACTCTCCAGCCCCAGAGTGCAGATAAAAAGGATCTTGCGAAACTGCTGCCTATGCGCAGGGAAGTCCCACCTCCACAAAATCCCAGTGCTCACCGCTTTTGAGACCTACATCTCTCTCTCTCTTACACACACACATACACAATACTCGGGATGAAAACGCACCGCACCCTCTGCTGTCCCACTGTAGGAGGTAAGAGAGGGTGTTTCTCAAACTTTACTGTGCACAGGAATCACTTAAGGATGTTATTAAAGTTCAAGTTCTGATCCAATAGGTCCGAAGTAGAGCCTGAGATTCTGCATTTCTAATGGCTGCTGATCCAAGGAACACATTTTAAGTTGCAAAACACAAAATAAATCTGCCTTCTAACAACAGCTGAACCACGACTTGTAAGATAAGCTGAAATAAGAATTCGCTAAGGCACTGTTTTTCATGGGTTTTCAGAATGCTATGGAGGCCAAATAATTGGTAAATACAAACACAGTGAGAAAGGACAAAATGCCTTGTCATTATTGTCTTTAATAATTACTATTGACAGAATCATTAGGAATACTAATGTTGATGAACGTGTGGGGAGATATTGGTAATTTGCCATTCCATATGTTCTCCAGAGAAGCTCTAAAAACAACCAGCAGTGACCACCTCACAAACACACTGTACTTTAGAAAGAAAATGCTAAGTAAGGAGCAGAATATTTGTCTTCTGAACCAGTTGTTGAGTTTCACAGACACCAGTTCCGATCAAGTGTGTATTCTCAAGTAGTTAACTTGCACATCAAGCTAACAGAGAAAACAAACCAAAGAGAGTGAATGACAAGAACAAAAAATAAAAAAGAGAAATAAAGTCAACACACCAAAAGATGTGCTGTGTTTCGAGTTAGCAGATACATCAGCTTAGTGTGGTCCCCACTCCCTCTCTCTTTACATGCTTCCATCTGGCTGGAAACAACCATCCCACCTTTTCAGTTCAGCAACTGGCCTGAACTATTAATAAGCCTTTATTTCCATGGTAAAAGCCTTTCCATGGTAAAGAATCTTAGATAGTTCCTGCTTTAAAAGAGCAATTTGACAATATACCAATAAACACCATATAGGCAGTCTGTGATACCAGAAGAGACATCAGTTACCACATAGAGTTCAAAAGGTAGTGAGGTCCGGAGAGACTTCATGAAGGGAGGTCACTCTAGATGAAGCTTTAAGTGTGATATGAGTCCAGCAGTCAGAAGAGGCAGAGACCAGCTTGCTGCATGCAGACTCTCTCTGAGTGAATGGGATTCTAGTGACTGACCTGCCACCTGAAAATAAAGTTAGGTATAACCCTTTCACCCCAAGACGTTTTGCTGTCAATTTCTTTGGTCACACTGAATCCATAGCAAACTTGCCCCAGGCCTGAAACCCATTGGCAAGACAATTGGCAAAAGTTGGCAGGGTTCATTGTTGACCAAGGAAAAAGACAGGCTGCCCTTATGGGAGGGGTGCTTCAGCAGGCTGCCCCTGTTAATGGGGACACAGTGGATCATCCCCCAATGGGTATGTGGTCTGAGGTGGCTTGCCTCCTAGAGATCTGGGCCCCACCCCAGGACTGGAGGCAAGTGGAGGTGACACCTGAGGCTATAGGGGTGGCCCTTGGTATAATAAGTAGATTGTTTGAAAAGCAGAGTGCCCATGAAGCAGTGGGGACTGTGGGGTGGCTGCTTCTCACACTATTAAAAAGGTCTGCAGAGGAGACCTAAGAAATGGCGGCATGCGAATGTGAGCTGCAAACCTCTGTGGATTCTCTGAGGAAGGAGATGGCATTGATGTGAGAGGAGGCAGCACGAAAGAGCCGGCAGCAAGGTGCCATTGGAGACGAGATGGCAGTGCTGCCAGGTATTCTGAAGGAGGAAGAGGCCATCAAAGAAAAAGGTCAGCTCCTGAGGGAAGCACAGGCAAAGGTGGCATGAGAACGTCAGCTATGAAGCATTGAGCTGAAGGTAAGAAAGCTGCTGAAGACTGAGCTGGCATTGTTGCAAGGCATTGTAACAGAGGAGGCACTTGGGGGAGTGGAGAGAAAGATGTCATCAGCCCCAGAAATGGAGGAGCTGGGGAAGGATGAAGGGGTGGTGCCAGAGGCACTTGCCCCTCCTGGATTGAAAGTTTGTCCAGTGGTTATAAAGAAAATAAAGAACCAGCAGCTGAAATTTCCCCAAGGAGAGGAGCAGTCCCCTCCCCTGGTTGTGGAGCACTCTATGGTCCGCCCCTACACTCAGTCTGAGCTGGTGGCTGTGAGACCTAGGGGTGGATGCAATTGTTCTGTGGGGATCAGAGATGGGAAAGCTGTCTTCCCTGACAGTGCAGCCTGCCTTGAGGCAGCAATTGCAAAATGCAAGGTGACACGTACACTAGCTGAATCAAAGAGAACCCGGAAAGAAATAAGACCTGTTACAGGAGGAATTTAGAGGCCCGTGAGGGTTACCAGGACCCAGATGTGGGTTGATTTGATATGGACAGGAGTAGATGGAAGGAAATTAGATGGGAAGCCAAATAGAATCTTACTGGAGCTATGGCAACAACTGAAACCAGAGCAGCAGTTCCAACCATTAAGACTAAAAAGGCAGAGGTCAGAGACAGCCACGAGTCTGGCCTGTGTGTCTTCAGGATTTTGGCTGGAGAGACTGGAGAACAATGTTTGAACTTTCTTGCACAGGGACCATAGCAGAGGACTAAGGGCAAATAAATTGAGAGGAGAGAATCCTGGAGGAGTGGAGTGTGGATAAAATGAGAGTTCCTGTGGCCAGGATTCTCACCTGGCCCTGGTTGACTAGCTCACTGCACACCTGTGGGCAATTTCACTCTGTATAAGGAGCTCCACCCAGTGCTGTGCATGCAACACGGTGGCAGGGCTGAAAGGCTGCAGGAGAGCAGAGCAGAGGCTGGAGTGGTGGCAGTGCTGAGGACAGAGGCCAAGAGGATGGCTGTGTGGGATGACTGTGCAGAGATGTCCAGAAGAAGGCTGTGCAGACAGAGGGGCCCAAAGGCAGAGACCAGCTTGCTGCATGCAGACTCGCTCTGAGTGAATGGGATTCTAGTGACTGATCTGCCACCTGGAAATAAAGTTGGGTATAACCCTTTCACTCCAAGAACATTTTGCTGTCAATTTCTTTGGTCATACTGAATGCATAGCAAACTTGCCCGGGGCTGAAACCCATTGGCAAGACAGATAGGAACAAAGATCACTGGGTGAGCCCATCATGTATGAACCTGCCTTAGGGGTAAATGATACACATTCATCATGAAGAAAAACAGCATTTTTGTTTATTTTTTAGCAATATTCAAAGACATACGCACAGAAACAAAGCGTGCAGCAGGGTTGTGGGGAAAATGGAAGTTCTTATGGCCAGGATCCTCACCTGACCCTAAACTACTTGATGTGTTTATACTCCTAGGCTACTGCTTCCACACCTATAGGCAATAAGCTATTATTGACTGAGTCACTATATAAAGAGCTCTGCCCAGTGCTCTGGGCAGAGACAGAGATGGTGGTGGGTTACAGACCTGCAGACTGCTGAATGCAGACATGATTCTAGGCTCGACCTACCGCTGGGAGAATAAAGCCAGGTGTAAACCCTTTTACTCTAAGAATGTTTTGTTGTCAGTCTCATTGAATCCATATCCAAGGCTGAAACCCTCAGGCAAGACAAGGGTTTACCCAGGTTTAGTAATTAACAAGGTGGAAATAATGAGAGATCAAACAAGTAAGAGATTTCATGGAATACAAATTGCGAGGAAGGACCCTCAAATTGTTCAGGTGAGGGTTGGTTTGCCATGCTGCCATTTGCAGTTTGTGAGATATGGCACAATTTACTTAACCTCTCTAAGTCTTAGTTTTCTCAGCATGTGTAAAGCTGAGCTAAAACTATTTACTCTTCAGTTTTAGGCTTGTATAATAAGAGAAGATAATATTGGTAAAGCAGTTCTCAAACTAAAGCATTCATGAGAATCACCTGGAGGACTTGTCCAAACACTGACTGCTGAGTCTCACCCCTAGAGTTACTGATTTACTAGATCTTGGGTGGTTCTCAGAAATTTGGGTTTCTTACAAGTTTCCCAATGATGCTGATGTTTCTGGTCTGGAGAACCATCCTTTGTGAACCCCTGTTATGAAGCATTTAAGTAAGTACACAGTAAGGACTAACTACATGGAAGCTAGTATTTAGGGTTGTGGTCAATTTACAGTATGAAATCTGAAAATAGAGTTCAAGGTGAAAATGCTACAAAAATTCAAAAGGGAGTGACAGACAGGGATTATTGGGAGAGCCTGGGAATTCGATGGTTATGAAAATGGAGATCACAGTTTGAGAGAAGTGATGGGAAAGACTCAAGATCAGGAGGTTTTGGCCAGGGAGAGAATTCAAAAGTTAAGAATCTTTGAGATCAGTTTATGTTAGGCCCAACAGTTTATAATGGTGGTTTATAATAAAATGCCAAGGCTATAGCAATTAAATTAGATCATGGAAAGAAAAAAGTGGGTCAAGGAAGGACAGCAGAACTATCAACACAGCAAGCCACCACCAGTGTTGTCACTGAACATAGAGCCAATCTCCTGCCTGGGAAGCCACTGAGAAGCAGGAGTCAGAAATGTTACGTACCTGTCACTCTATGATGCAATGATTTGTAAATCCCAGCCTCTCAAGCTGGAAAAATTGTCCCTATTCTGAGCTTCTGGGAAAATCTCATCCCTGGAACATTGAGTAACTTGGAATTCATGTGGCTTCTTTATAAGGAAACTTCGATACAAATCAAGACACAGTATTACAGTATAATCATTAAAGAGCACATCTGGGGAGTGTTAAGATGATGGGCCCTAGATATTTAGCTTTCTAGTGATTCAGCTTTGCCTATTTTAGGTCCTGAGCACCTGTAATCAAATGCTCTGGCAGCATGTCTGTCTTTAACCCTAGTAAAATAGGTCTTCAAAGATGAGAAAACAGGCTCAGACAGATGAAATGACTTCCCTGAAAGGATACCTGATAAACTCCAGTCTCTGATTACAAAGCATATGTAATTTCCACTCTGAAATGTCTCTAAAAAAGTAAAATAAAGTAAATGTTATTTGTCCATATGCCTTTTGTCCACAATTGGGTTCTTTAGGAAACATAC